CCGCCCGCCGTGGCGCTTTCGTTTTATGTCACTGACTGTGGGGGGCACGTGTTCTCTTCCTGTGCTTTAAAGTCCCTCTTAGGTTGTAAAGTCACCAAGAGTGAGCCCCAAACCCTGGGCTCGCACCCTCGAACCCCAAGAAAAACAGACCCCAGGCCCGTGTGCTGCGAGGCCTGTAAATAATAAACTTTTTCGCTGAAGGGCGTCTTGCAATCAGAATAACCACGAAGGTCGGTCCGTTGTCACGGGGTGTAGGAAGGGGAGGGGCTGGGGGACGCTCGCCTGCCCAGGTGAGCGCCCCGGGCAGTTCTAGCCGGTAGCGTCCCCACCGACGGGCGGAGCCTGCGCAGAACAGCGCCGCGCCGCCGCACGACATTACGACACGACCACATTGGACATTACAGCGTGACATCATGATGACATTGCAATATTACGACATCACTACATTACGATGTCGCAACATTGCGACTTACAGCTTTACGGCATATGTTATAGACGTCACAACATTACGACATCACCGATTACGACGTCGCGGCCTTACGACTGACTGCGTCGTGACGTTGCAATATTACGACAGGAGCACATGACATGCCAGCATTACGACGTCACCGCATTATGACGTCACAGCATTACGACGTCACTGCATTACGGCAGGATGTAACATGACGAGGCTTCCCCGGCCCCTCCGGCGCTGGGCGTAGGAATGTTTCAGCTCTGTCCTAACCTCCCGGAAGCGCCGTCTTACATCCGGTGCGTTGTGCGAACGCGGTGACGTGGTGCGTGACTGTGTGTGAAGCGAGCTGCCTGCCGCAGGGCCTTTGCATGAGACGTGCGTCCCGGCGCTGAGCCTGCGGCGGGTGTCGGGGTTCCGCGTGGGGGCGGTGACCCGCAGCTAGTGTCGGGGTTCCGTGTGGGGGCGGTGGCCCGCAGCTAGGGTCGGGGTTCCGCGTGGGGGCAGTGACCCGCAGCTAGTGTCGGGGTTCCGCGTGGGGGCGGTGGCCCGCGCTAGCGTCGGGGTTCCGCGTGGGGGCGGTGGCCCGCAGCTAGGGTCGGGGTTCCGCGTGGGGGCGGTGGCCCGCAGCTAGGGTCGGGGTTCCGCGTGGGGGCGGTGGCCCGCAGCTAGGGTCGGGGTTCCGCGTGGGGGCGGTGGCCCGCAGCTAGGGTCGGGGTTCCGCGTGGGGGCGGTGGCCCGCAGCTAGGGTCGGGGTTCCGCGTGGGGGCGGTGGCCCGCAGCTAGGGTCGGGGTTCCGCGTGGGGGCGGTGGCCCGCAGCTAGGGTCGGGGTTCCGCGTGGGGGCGGTGGCCCGCAGCTAG